ACTCATGAAGATAGCAAATGTTCAAGAAATGATCAAAATTGACAAATCTAACAAGTGGTTTGATGGTAGCAAATTCTTTCAAATAGTATCACATTTCTACATGTGGTATTAACTATACAAGATGGTGGTTCACAAGTGATCCTCAATCTTAAGTGATCATCAAATGAAGATTGCATCCCTCACCTACAAGAGCTCAAGTTTATCAAGTGAATGACCCATGTTATGACATAGGGGGAGGTGTCCCACCGATTGGTATCAAGGTCAAAGATTCTATATGTGGTATCTCAAGAGCCATACATATAGTGTATGCTAGTTGAAGCACACAAGTAGGGGGAGCAACATTGAAGAATCTGAGGGGATCAAAATTCTTAGACAAGAGAAGCACACAAGTAGGGAGAGCAAGCTCATGTGAGGGGATCAAAATTATTAGACAAGAGAAGCACAAAAGTAGGGGGAGCAAGCTCATGAACTTGTTTGATTGCATTTGATATGTGCATATTCATGTGCTTGCTTGCATATAAGTTTTTAAATTTGATATGCATGCTTGTGTGGTGTATGCTAGTTGTAGAACTTGAATGATGATTTGATAACTAGCATGCATAAGATGGTAGCTAGACTTGCATTTCTACATGTGGTACTAGAACTTTGTTTATAATGTTGATCTCATGGGGTCTCTAGTGTTTATGTTGTCTAGCTACACATGGTGCTAACGATGGTGTTAAAAGTGTAACTTCGATTGGTATCACGCTTCAAAGGTTTATTCTTTACACCTTAGCATCGTTTGGTAGTTACTACTCTCCCACAATTCCAATCTATACATATGTGAGAGCTTCAAACCAAACACTCTAGCACATATGTAGGGGGAGCTAATACTACCAATCCGGGTTGGTGGTACTTGTCCAAAATCCTTTACACATGGTAAAATTGCTTGGGCAAGCAACATGAATCTATTTGAGCTTAATTTCCAAATCTTTGTAGAGTTGTCATCAATTACCAAAAAAGGGAGATTGAAAGGTCATTGTTTGGTTTTGGTAATTGAGTGACAATCTAGGTGGGATAATTGTGATTAATGTGAGATACATAGGTGATTAGTCCACAGGTATACTTGTGTGAGCAACTCATGCCATGACGGTGAAGATGGCTCGGATTTGTTGCAAGGCTCACATATGTCATGAAGGAGCTCATTGCATATGAGACATGACATTGAGTCATGTGACTAAGGTGGAGAAGATCAAGACAAGGCTTGGCTCGACGGACTGGTTGCAAGTGTGAAGGGCAAGTTGAGTGATGACTTGGCGCCGATGGACCGAAGCAACGGTGAAGAGCAAGTGAAGTCAAGATCGATGAACTTATACGATCACGTGATGATATGAACTGGATCATATCATTTGTGATTGGTTGGTGTATATGTTGCATCAACATTGGAGGAGATGGAATAAAATGCGTAAGGCAAAGGTATAACCATAGGGCATTTCATTTCATCGGTCAAAGGTTGTGTAGAGAAGTGCATGACCGGGTTTAGGATAGATGGCCATACTATCAAGAGAGGCAAATTTGTTTGCATATCGGTCATCTAGTGCCACTCGAGTGATCTAACTTTGCATCGTTGCTAGGATCGAGTGACGTGGCAAGAAGAGTGCTAATCCTTTGGGAAAATGTTCGTGGAAACCTAACACACATGCACATGGTGGTGTACACTTGGTGGTGTTGACACATTTGCAAAGGAGAAGAAGTTGGAGTTGATGTGGATCAACTCGGTGAAGAAATGGAGGAGAGAAGGTGTCACTATAAGTGACCGGACGCTGGCCTCAGTAGGACCTGTGCATCCAGTCAATGTAAGTAGAAGAGGCGAGGTCTCAATCAAATGACTGGACGCTGGCGCCTAGAGGTGATCGGACGCAACTCTCCTGCATCCGATCATTGGTGATGTACGTTGACGTAGGTGGCGCTAGACTTAGCGCACGGAGGCAGAAGGGATCGGACGTTGGTGCACGTCTGGTCGTATTCGATCTGAAGCGTCCGGTTGTGGTTTGTCGGCTCTGGAACCTCTCTGGAGTTGACCTAACTCTAGCAGAGGTGCGTCCGATCGTCGAGTGGTGGCGCGTCTGGTCTCGCTATTGCACGGTGTTTGGCACGCATAGTGATGACCGGACTCAGGCGTGGAGCGTCCGGTCTTTGTGTAGAGGCGCGTCCGGTCAGAGGTTGTTAGTGCGCGCGCGAGTTAGCCATTGGCGGCAACGACTAGTAACATGTGGCAGCGACGGAGTGACCGGACGTAGGGACCGGCATGTCCAGTCGCCTCGGGTTTTGCCCAGTGAAGGGGCAATGACTCTATTTGTCCTTTGGGCTATAAATAGAGGGGTGTCTCAGCCATGGCTAAGGTTGAGCACCTAAGGGGACTTTGTGTCTATGTTTGAGAGTGCTTGGGAGCCCTCCAACTCACTTATGCTTGTAAGAGTGCGAATTGAATGCGAGTGAGTGATTCTAGTGCGATTGCATTATGAGATTGCATCGAGTGGTATTAGGTGATCGAGTTGTAAGCCGGTGATGCTTGTTACTCTTGGAGGTTGCCACCTCCTAGATGACTTGGTGGTCTCCGTCGAAGCACGCAAAGAAGATTGTGCGGTGCTCCGGAGAAGTGATTGTGAGGGGATTGTGCTCACCCCGTGGGAGCCACGAAGGGCAACTCTAGTAGAGCATGTCATTGAGCTACCCTCACTTGTGGGTAGGTTTTTGCAGTGCCTGACGTGCGGGCTTGGCGGGTGATGCCAATTAGCCGCTGAACCACCAAGTGAGCGGTCAACACAACGGGGACTAGTGTGTTGGCAAGCACGTGAACCTCGGGAGAAAAATCGTCGTGTCATCCTTGTCTTCCCGTTGGTTTGCATCCCCGTTACCCAAGCTTGTATTTATTTTCCTATACATTACGCTTGTGTAATTGCTATTGTAATTAGTTTGCTTGTGTAACTTGCTAGTTACCTTCTTGCTTGTGTAGCTAATTTGGTTTTAGTAACCTTGTTAATCACACTGCTTAGTGTGTGTAGCTAAGTAATTTGCTCTCTCTAATTTAACATTAGTTACCTTGTTATTGAGCATTGCTAGTGAGCTTAGGAGCTTTGTGCTTTTGCTTACTAGTTGTGTAGGAGCTTCCTCGTGCTTGAAGTACTAGGGGTATAGGTTTGTGTGACCTTGCTCCTAGAATTGGTTAGGTGAGCTCTAGCTAGCCCGACACCTTAGGTGCTTGTTTAGGATCTTTTCAATGTGCTTGATAACTTAGATAGAGGGGTGTAGTCTTGGCTAGACCGATAGTTTTAATTCTGTATTTGTTACGGTTAGCCAACGCGATTATTTTTAGAAAGGACTATTCATCTTCCCTCTAGTCCGCCATCTCGACCCTACACTCTTCTAGGGGAAGACTTGGCCCATATACCTCATGGGCTCCCCTAACATCACCCTCGGCAAACACTTCTGCTAGCGGGGCTTCGCCAACACATTAGCGACTACAACGACTCACCACGCCAACACCTCGACACGCTAGAGGCCCAAGAAGCATAACAACAAGTTCTCCTTCTTTATTAACTCCACGGAGCTCTAGTGGGTAGGAGGGCTTGAGCCCAGATAGCCCCATCCATGCTAGATCCGTCTGTGCTTGTCCTCATATACATACGATAGATAAAAAGGATGTGCATTTGTTCATTTGTTGACCTTGTTGGAACTCTAAAAATTTGTTGAACTTGACAATACGAGATGCATCTTGATTTTGCATTCAAAATTTCCACCCAATTTATCAACAAATCATTGGCCATGAATCAAGCTTGGGCCATAGAAAATAGGGAAAGTCCATTGTACCTCCCTAAACTATCGCATATTGAACATATTACACAGCCACACAAATGCATAGCATGGATGCATCAATATTAATGTATGTTTTGCTAGTTTAATCTCATATTTTTGCTATACAAAATTTTTAGAACACATTTATACACCGATTAAAATGTTTGGGAATTTTTTCTATATTTCTTGGATTTTTTCTATTTTTCTGGAGCAAAGTTTTTTTTGAAGCATTTAGAGATATTTTCATGAGCTTTAAATATTTCATTTGGAATTATCGTATCCCAATCTATTTCCATTTTTTCTAGTTTTAAAACCTAAATAATTTTTTATGGTTTAAAAACCTTATGAAGTATTTATCGATTTTTTTAACTAAAAAAACAAAACCACTCCAAACCAGAGCATTGGGTAATTTGAATAGTCTCAAGAGTTTAGGGGATAAGATGTTTGATTTGGAGTTTAAGAAGGAAAATCAGATTAAGTACCATATCACTATGGACAAAGTCTATTATACTTCCCTAAACTATTGTCATAGTTTGATTTTACTCCTTGAACTCTAAAACTAGATTTTTTCGGATATTTTCCAATTTTACCAAAGCTGAATATATTTTTTTGAAGCATCTAGAGATATTTTCATGATCTCTAAATATTTTATTTGGATTTGGCGTATCCTAATGTATCTATACAATTTTTTGACTTAGAAACTTTGTAAAGTATTTATAAAAAAATTAACTAAAAAAGATAAAACCAGTACAAAGCAGGGCAGGGAAGCAATTTGAACGGTTTTCAAAGTTTAGAGATAACGTATCTAAATCTAGAGTTTAAAGATAAAACCCACGCTATGCTAATAATTCAGGGAGGTAGAATAGACTTTTTCTATTTATTGTGGGCTTACTTTGGCCCTTATTTGGGCATCCCAGCTCCAGATGGGCCCAAAACGAAGCCCAATAAACGTTTCGCACACGCACCGACGCACGTGAGGCGAGAAGGGAATTCCAGTTCCAAATTCCCAATTCCCCAAACCCCTAGTAGACACGCGTCTCCCTCTCCTCGCGCCCGCCATGGCAGCCGCCTCCTCAGCCTGCGGCGGCGCCGGCTGCGGGCCGCAGTGCTCCTCCTCCGCAGGCGGCGAGGGGGATGCTTCGGCGGACAGCATGGGACGCCTTTAGATGTCCGGCGCCGCCGCCACCGCCACGTGCGGCAAGTGCGACGGCGGCGGCGCTGCCGTCGCGGTGGCCGGGGGCGTCGGCTTGTGCGTCGACTGCTTCCGGGCTCACCTCTTCGGGAAGTTCAAGCTCGCCGTCACGAGCAACGCCATGGTGCGCCCCACAGACGCCGTCCTCCTCGCCTTCTCCGGCGGTCCCGCCTCCAGGTCCCCAGTTCTCCCTATTTCTTCCCCTTCATTATTTATTTCTATGCCTTCTCTCCACCGGGTAATTTGGGAAAAACTGTGCACAGTGACGAGAGATCAATACACAACAGGTACCCAGTTCTCCCTATTTTTTCCCTTCCTTATTTCTAGGCCTTCTCTCTATCGGGTAATTTGGGTAAACTGAGCACAGTGACGAAAGATCAATACATAACATCTCGAAAAGAAAAGGGATCAATGGACACGGCCAACATATATAGCGTTGGGTTCGAGCTATATTACAATTTACAAAATCATGGGTTGCAGGATAATCAGTTTGGCTGTTTTTATGTTGCTTCAGTGCTTCACTTGAATTGTTTTGTTATGATCCACTGAGTGTAAGTGTTGCCGCACAAACATAGGGTGGCTCTGCAATTCATACACGAGATGCAGTCCAAGGCGATCCAAAGCTGGGAGACGAGTAACTCCCAGGCCCTGCCAACCTTCAGCCTTGGCGTCGCATTCGTCGACGAGAGCGTCCTTTCAGTGAGGCCGGGACACGAAATCGACACGGCGATCGAAGATATCAAGTCGATCGTGTCGAGTTTATCACCAGGAGATAAGCAATTGCACGTCGCCCCTCTTGAGGACGTGATCTCGTCTGGATCAGATGACAAGGCGGCCAGGCTGAAGGAGCTGGTCGGCGTGATCAATGATGAGACGGGTAGGGACGACTTTATTCGGTGCCTGCGCATGCTTTCACTGCAGAAGGTGCTTCCCTTCATGTCTATGCTTTCACATGTTTTTATCTTTATATAGGTCGAACTTACCATTTCATGTCTGATATTTTGCTCAGATTGCACTGGAAAATGGCTACACCAAGATCATGCTAGGAACGTGTGCTTCTGGAATAGCATGCCATGTGCTATCTGCAACCGTGAAGGTATATAGCTGATCTGGTGATGTTTGATCGTTCTTGAAAAGAACATCAGAGAGCTCTGAGAGCATAATGGAATTACTAATTTTCCCAGGGGCAAGGCTACGCTTTACCAGCTGATGTCCAGTATGTTGGTACTTGATACACGGTAGGAAGTGCCTGTGGTTCTTCCACTTCATGATTGCCTGGCCCAAGAGCTTAACTTGCTCTGTGAACTTGATAGGTAAGATAAACGCTCGCTTATTAGCCTAGTTGTCTGTTGTTCTTGCAGTGTTTTTTATTATAAATAATGGGTTCTCTGGTCAGTTTGAAGACACAGCAACTTCTCAATAGGCCTTGCAGCGGCATCAATGGCTTAGTTGCATCCTTTGTTTCACGGCTAAGGGTAGGGCCTCTTGTTCTTTGCATGTCACTTTCTTGCAGACCTAAAATTTTAGCTACTCTGTAATTGAGCTGAAGCTGTACTCTTGTTTGATGATTACTTTTATGAATATCTTGTGGGGCAGCACAAGCCATAGTTTTAAACATTTTCTCGTTTCTATTTACAGGAAGAGAACCCTTCCCGAGAGCATACCATTTTAAGAACTGCACAAAAGCTTAAACCATTCTCTTTTAACAAGTTCTCCGTTTCTATTTACAGGAAGAGAACCCTTCCCGAGAGCATACCATTTTAAGAACTGCACAAAAGCTTAAACCATTCTCTTTTAACAAGTTCTCAGCAAACGGTTACCGCTTCGTCCCAAGTTTCAGAACATTGATGCCAACGAGTCTACTTTCTCTGAGATTCTTTGCCTGATATGTGGAAGCCCGTTCAGTGAATCAGAACTCCAGAATTTGGAAAACACAAAGCACAAGGCTCAGAAGAAAATTGATCTGTATACTGCTCATTGTTGTCAAAGCTGCCATTTCCAGATTCTCCCAGCAGCTACAGATATGCATGGACATTTCTTTTCACTACTACCGAAGTTTTGGATTGAGAAAGTACACACTGCATCTGCCAGCCATAGCTCAGTAAGGTGAGGCTGACACATCTTTCTTTACGTGCTGCCTCATTGTCTGGGTATTTTTAGTGCATGTTATCAGTGCTTTACTAAGGCAAACATGTTGGGTGTATTTCTGTATGTTGGGCTCTCTATTCACGGAAGCTGACATGGGGGATTCTGTATGTTGGGCTCTCTATTCACCGAAGCTGACATGGGGGAGGCAATAAAAAGAGTTTTAAAGGGTTGGGATATACTTAGAGATCTTTGTTTAGATAGGAGTGCTTGGAAAGCAGCTATCGACGTGCCTGAACCGTGACTAGGGACTCATGTTGGGTTTCAACTCTAGCCTACCCCAATTTGCTTGGGACTAAAAGGCTTTGTTGTTGTTGTTGTTGCTGTGGGCTCTCTATTCATTTACTAATATCATGTCCTGTTCATTCTTTCAAGTGCACTGATACGGTAAAGTGTTTATTTCAGAGATCAGATAGCGGACTACCTGCTGGATGAAGATGATGAAAACTGACATTAATCTCTGATTTCATGACATAATTTGTTGGAGGCATAATGTTTAATTCATATGGAATGTCCGAATGCTGGTTTATACTGACATGTTTCGTTTGTTGTACAAGAAGACATACCAATTCTAATTGGGCCTCACACAGGCATATGCCAAACTTATAGATAGCAGTGTTTCTTTTTTCCCCCCTTGATGAAACCAGTGTTACTAGTATGGCACTGCTCTATTGAGCTCCTGATATTCTCAAACTCATCCGGGATCTGTATAGTGATGAGGCAAACCATCACTTGCCATCCGGGATCTGTATAGTGATCCGGGATCTGTATCAAGACAGCGCAGGTTGGAGAGCTGAATGTTTCCCACTTACATGTGATCTCATATCAATTGGTCTCATCTCTCGTGCTGTGCCAGCTATTCTGCCAGCAAACATTGTAACAAGCTGAATTTATCCAGTGATTTGAACAATTCATTTTCTCAATAAATTATGTATGTACTTTGGTTATAATCAATTAGCCCCCTCTATACACGATTCGAAGGATACTTTTGGCATTGTGGGATGTACAGAGTAGTGCTGCATCTTTGTCCCTTGTAGGCCTGAAGGGATGCACATCCTATTCCCAATGCAAAGCATATGAACATGGCATATCACATACAAATGTATAACACTTATGCAGTTGCAGGAAATGAAGTGGTAATGACACTGCAGATAAGTGGTCCCTTGCATTTTGCTTTGTGCAATTACCTTATCAACTTGCATTTCACTGCATTATCATGTAACTTATATTTCATCCCTGTGAGTGCAGCAAGTCATTTTATACTAGACCTTTGGCTGTCTTTTCCCCTGCATTCTAGTGCATTGTCTCATCTAATGGCTAGTAGCTACCACGTTACAAGTGTATTGGAGCCTTTCTTGTGAAATGCATCGCATGCGTGCTTGCATCCATGTGCACTGCTCAGTGTTGCTGAGCCCATACACTGGTCAAACATTGGGAACCTATATCATATAAGTAATTAGGTTAAAGCTTGTAAAGGTTAGACCTTTTGGTTAGCCACTTTAATCTGATTGGGCTGGCATAAAGCCTGACAAGTAATCCTAGCCAACGTGCAAGGGCTTATCCAGCTTTTCATCGATGATGGCAACACAAATGCATACAAAGCCGCCCCAAGGTCCTACAGGGCCTTTCATTTTAGATGGTTGGAACAGGATTTATAAAACCGACTACCCGGTTGATGGCTGATGTTGATGGATTCTGGCAGAGTTTGACAAAACTTTCAAACTTTCAAATGTTCTTCGCTGTTCAATCGTCAGAGTATGTGAATAAACAATGGGGATATCGATTAGGAGTCCACTAAAATGATCCATAAATCTCTGGCTATTCGTTTGGGCTTGTTTGGCTTATAAGCTGTACTTTTTCATCCAACGAATAGTATTTTTCTCTCACACCAAATCAGCCAACAGTACTCTCAGCTATGGCTTATCAGCCAAACAAGCCCAAATGAACAGGGCGTTGGTTTCTATTTCTTTTCACCAGCTTAAGAAGTCATTGTTTTTTTTTTGCCTGTTTTGAAGGATCAAAGTTATTTGCAATTGCTACTCAAATTACTTTTGAACTCGTGCTTTAAAATCTCTGGATCTATGCAGCATGGGTGGCTGGCAGGCACTCTGTTCTGAGCTATCCAATCAACCCATCCTTAAGGTTATTGTTGTCCATGGCATTGCAGTGCAGTGGTACTGCGTGTACCAGCATCAACAGCATCATCAACAATTGTTTTGTCTCTCGGGTCTGGGCAGCAAGACTGACTGACCCCAAATAGGCCTGGAAACAAAAGGTAAACTATAGGGCTACCAGATATTGCTCCTTCTACTACTGCTGCTTACTCCATCCATCCAAAAATAAGTACGTTATGAGATACGTGTGAGTCAAACTTTCTCAACTTTAACTAGATTTATAGAAAATACGTGCAACATTTTTATCTCCACATAAGTTTATTATAAAAATACATTCAACGATCTATCTAATGATACTAATTATGTATTATCAATATTAATATTATTTTATATATAATCGGTTAAAGTTAAAAAAAAGTTGACTTCTCGGAAAATGAGAATAGCTCTATTTTGAGAAAGAGGTCGTAGATTTTCATACTGAACAGTTCATACTGTATCATCATTGGTGTTTTAGTGACTCAAAAGGCTAATCTAAGCAAATGCTACAAGTAGCATGTTCAAGTTTGGCACATGTAGAGTTTAGGCACTGTGTGAGTTTAGTGTGTTTATTAGTGGACAATACCTCCATCCACACAGTGCCCACTTTAGCTTACTTCATTGTAACAAGCAAAGGCCCATTGTGTCCCCTAGTGATTGGCACAGCCCCCTGCTGTCATTGAAATATGGGAATGGGAGCAAGAAGCTGAGGGCCCCTCTTGTGACCTTGACTTGACATGACCAAACCTGGGTTTTCGTTTGTTTATTTTCATCATGCTTTGATCCAAAAGCTTCAAGCGTTGGTCAAATAAAACATTGGTAAGTGGGGGGGGGATCTGCAAGTGGCACAGTAGATAGCAGCATCAGTGCAGTTTCTGAACCCTTGTTTCATCAAAGTGGGTGTGGGTGTGCACACATTGAAGACCTCTGCTAGTTGCTGCTATTATGGTTCCATCTGCATTAGGGTTGCCTAATACAAGTGATTTGGAAGACTGATGAGGTTCTTGTGAGTCAACACTTGTGGCTTGATCCTTGAATTGTTTTCTGAATAGTAGGATGCATACATGGCCGGCTGCCCGCCTCTCTCTCTCTCTAGTGTTGCCCTGTGGGGTCTGGGGAGCCTGAATTCAGGGCTGGGCTATGCAGGGCCCTGTAGCAAACTTGACAAGATTCGTGACAAATACTCCGTACCTGCTTGCTTGCGATCCATAAATGAGTGTCGATGAAATCGAATTCAAATAGCGGTGGACAAGATTCGTGACAAATACCATTCATGTACAATTGTCCGTCACTGGCGACATTGTTGTGCAGGGTGCCTTTAATGCAGCGTGCTGGGTGCTGGTTCCACATGCAGGACCGTCGGTCACAGTGAGTGGATCAGCTCTGCGGCATCAGCTGCAGCGGTAGACTGAGCCCGTGTTTGGTTCGTCGAATTTTGGAATTTGGGTTAACGTAGTATTTTTGTTTTTATTTGATAATTAGTGTCCAATCATAGATTAATTAGACTCAAAATATTTGTCTTGTGATTTCCAACCAAACTGCGCAATTAGTTTTTTTTCGTCTACATTTAATGCTCCATGCACGTAGCACAAGATTCGATGTGATGGCTACTATAGCACTTTTGGGAATTTGGGTTTGAAACTAAACACGGGCTGAAATACACTGAAGTTTACTCTATGGCATACCAGATGTTTGACATATACATGGAATATTAAATATAGACTAAAAAATAACTAATTGTACAGATTGCGACTAATTTGCGAGACGAATTTTTTAAGTCTAATTAGTCCCTGATTTGACAATGTGGTGCTACAGTAAACACGTACTAATTAAGGATTAATTAGGCTTAATAAATTCGTCTCGCGGATTACCGATGACTTCTGTAATTTGTTTTATTATTATTATCCGAATATTCCCATGTGACACCCCGATATAAC